AACATATACAAGATAACAAGTATACCGTATTTTTCCGGAGTATAAGACGCACCCTTTTCCCCTCAAAAAAGAGGCTGAAAATCTGGGTGCGTCTTGTACACTGAATACAGCATTTTTGGCCTCCCGAAACCCCACCCCCTTTGCAAAAATGGATGTGCAGAGGGTTTGGGAAGCTTTCAGAGTGATTCTGGGGGCTGGGGAGGGTAGAAATGAGCAAAAACTGGCTGTTTTTTGCTCAGTTTCACCCCCTCCCCCAGCCCCCAGGAGCATTCTATAAGCCTCCTAAAGGCTATGCATGGCTTTTAAAAAAACAGGCCTATTTTTGCAAGAAATGGGCTGTTTTTGGGAGGTCTGCAGAGTGCAAACAGTTTTTTTTTAAAATTTGCCTCTTCAAAACCTTGGTACTCTGAAAAATACGGTGAGTTTTGCCCCATTTTATTAATTTATTTGTTTGTTTGTTTGTCTAACATGTACAAGATAACAAGTATAGACATGAACAGAAATATTAACAAAGTCGTTTTGAGGGTAGGAGTTGAAACAATTTACTTCCAGGTTGCGAGGGGTCTGTAAATATTTTCACGGCCCTGAAAATATTTTTTGGCTGCTGACAAGGAGTGTCCACAAGCTAGAAACAGATCAAGAATGGTCAGCGATATGAAATGATCCCTTTACTTGTCTTTATTAACAGGTGGAAGTTCAGTGTTTCCTGCTGCTGGAGATCCTGGGTGGCTCCCGCAAACCTGTGGTGAATGGGGCTGTGAAGAAGTTGAACAGACTCTGGAAAGAGGTGAAGTTACATTTTCTGCAAACAGCACCCGGGGTTCAGAGTTTTCTGTCCATCTTGTCTCTTCCGGATGTGTTGAGATTGGGTATCTTGACCAGGCTTGGAAGAAACCATGATCCAATACATTGAGACAGTGTTTTCAACCCTGACAACTGGAAGATGTTTGACTTCCAACTCCATATGTTGGAGTCTTCCAACATATGGAGTTCTGCCAGCGGGCATGGGGGACCCAGAGCGGGACGGAGCCCATTAAATGGCTCGTGTAAATGTCTGATTTTATTATATTAATTTATTATTAGTGATATCATTATATTAAAGGTAAAAGTTCCCCCACTCATGCGTGCTGTTCGTTTCAATCTTACATTATGATATTACCATTAGTTACCGTATTTTTGGAGTATAAGATACAGCCGAGTATAAGACGCACCAAGATTTTGAAGAGGCAAATTTAAAAAAAAAGTTTTTGCATTCTGCAGACCTCCCCAAAACGGCTCATTTTTTGCAAAAACGGGCCCGTTCCCCCCCCCCCCCAAAAAAGGCATGAATAGCCTTTAGGAGTCTCGTAGAGTGCTCCTGGAGGGAGTGTCCCCCCCAAAATGAGCAAAAACAGCCCATTTCTTTTTCAAAACAGCTTGTTTTCCC